TTCCCATCTTTTCTTAATGCACCAAGTGGAGAAAAGTTACCCTTTTCAAGTAGCTGAGAATCTGTTATACTTTTCAAGAACCCTCTTCACCTGGATACTGGGAGCCAGTCCTCTCCTCCTGTCACGGACACCATCTCACTGCAGCCCCTCGCACACTGCCTGTCAGGCAGGGTCCAGACCCCGGCCCACGGCTTCACCCCAGCTCGGCCTTTCTTCAGGCACCCTGACTAGACTATCTTGCCTTCCTCTTCCTGGGCTGCGTGGACCCATTAACTAACTTTCTTCCCCCTTCCTGCTCATTCCTAGAAAAGATACACCTCTTCCCCGATAGAAATCCATCCCGAATTGGAAATCTATGCCCCAGATACTTTGCGATTATAAAATTACTATGGCAGATCCTAAAAACTGTGCCCTCTGGCCATCTCCATCCAGGTAAAGGCCACATTTCTGTCTTAGCCAAGATCGCCAGCCCCGAATGGGCTCGCCAGACAGTCCCACCAATCAGGGTGGCCCCCAGTCAGCCCACCAGCTGATCACCCCCAGCTCTTACCATACCCGTTCCTCGGGTCCCTGTGGTCAGGCTACCCAGCTGCCTTTCAAACATCAGCCACGTTGCTGCAGCCTCTCAGGTCCCACTGCTGATCTGTGGTGGAGTTTCAGCTCTGATCCCCACTCATCCAAGTGATTTGGGGTTTTCAGATTCTGGTAGCCAGTAACTAGAGAAAAATAAGAGTGGACAAAAAGGGGAACACTGGAGTTAAATGCTGGAATTTTTTCTCCTTGGTCCAACTTATCTTTAACTGTTAAAGGCAGTTCCTACTCAAGTCTAAGGGTCCTTTTTCAGCCCACAGCAGTGGGGCAGTTTCAACTGGGGGTGATTTTGCCTCTCGGGGGACGTTTGACAAAATTCAGAGACATTTTTGGTTGCTACAACTAGGGATGCTACTGGCATCTAGTGGGTAGAGGCTAGGGATGCTGCTAGGCATCCTTCAGTGCCCGGGACAGTCACCACAGCAAAGAATTACCTGGCCCCCGATGTCACCAATGCAGAGGCTAAGAAACCACCATCGAGATGAGATCTGCTGACCAATTCTTAAATTCTTCCCTCCGGCGTACTCCCACCCATCCCGTCCTAGGCCCACTGCTCTCTCCTGTAGTGTCCCCCCTTTTCTTCTCCAGTGCTCCAGGTGTTTGAGCTTCTATCACCAAACGTATTTCTCCCCTTGAAGGTTTTATGTGATCTAGTGATTTCATATCCCAAGAAGGATAACTGTCCCTTTGAATTCGGGGTCTTTACCTTCCTTCTAAACTTCGGTCCCTTCCTCCTAAATAATAAGCTGAAGAAAATCTCCACCCTGACTGTACATCCTTCCTTCCCCTCTGCCATGTCTAAAACCAGACTGGCTCCACCACCGTGCCAGCTTCTCTCCAGATCCTCCACAACGTCCCTATCCCACAGGTGTCCCATCATCCAGGCGCCAGACTTGACTCCGCCACCCTTTGTGTGTCGCACAGAAGTCGCTAGAGGGTCCTCTGGGATCCCTCTTGAGTCCCTCCCTCCAGCCCTCCTGCTTCCTTCCCTGTGCGTGGTTCTCGCTCCCTTAAAGGTCATGACCAGATACAGCCTCCTTTGTTCTCTTCAACAGGACCATCCTCTGCACTGCCTCAAACCTGTCCTAAAACTAGGCTCAAATCCTCACTTGCAGGAAAAAAAAAAAAAAAAAAATTCAGTATCTCTTCCATTTCCTACCAAAAGAGCCTCAAAACTGCCTGCCCTGAGAAATCCTACCCAATTTTTCCTGCCTCTCTCCCCCACTGGTCCTCCCAGACAAGCAAGGTGGCCTGTTCTCTTTACCCAGCCATGTGCCACGTTTCCCACTGTTGGATCTTTGTTCGTGGTAGGCCAACGTCTCCCATCCCCCCCCCTTCTGTTCACAGCCTAGACATCTATTCCTCCATAGAGGACCACGTGAAACTCTATTTTCTCCAACAAGGTCCCCCCAGTTGCAGGTCTTTTTTTTATGTTGCTTAGCCTCTGCAAGGGAGGCCTGCTGTCTGCCCAGTCTGTATCCCGCCAGTGCCTGTGCTCTCCTGGCAAACAACCAGGATGCTACCGGCCCATGAGGATGTAGGACAGAGACCCTGTGCCCATCCCTTGCTGACGTGGGCGGTGCGCGAGGCCTGGCGAGAGCAAACCGTCCCTCTGGGGCCCCCATCGTGGCCTCCCTGAGGCTCCAAACCGCGACGTCTACTAACCTTCCACTTCGGCAGGGCTCAGCACCCCCGCGACCTCAACTCCTTATCCATCTGGGGCCGCTCCTCTGCAGCGGGGCAGCGAGCCCCTCTCCTCAGGGTCTGGGCCCTCTACCTCCAGGCCCTGGAAAGCCTGCTCCTCGCCTCACCCCGGCGGCGGATCCCTGTTAGGTGGGCTCGCCCACCGCCATCGGCGAGAACAAGGGCTGGTCCCTGAGAGCCCTCACCTCCCCTTTCAGCCTTGGTGACTTGGGGCGCCAGGAAGAGCGACCCCACGGCGCCACCCAGCCTCGTGGCGGTCCAGCCCTGGCCGCCATACGCCCGCCCACCAATCCGCTTCTAACCACCCCGGCCGCATAACCTCTTAGGGCGTTCCAACGCGGCGCCCCCTATTGGACCTCCCACTCATATCCGGTTTCCGGTCCAACGCCCCCCGCTCATTCGCCAGGCAGCCTTGATTGGCGTGAACCCAGCCCAATGGCCGACCCAGCGCTGGGGTCGGAGGGGAGCGAGTTGACTGTTGCGACCCAGTTGGCCCATTCAGTGGATTCCCAAAAGGTTGAGCCGTTACGCGTGGGGATAGTTGTCCAAAGTTTGAACCAAAGTTCAGTGTTGGCACTTGGAAGTGTGTAGACCCGAAGAGATGAGAGGAGACGCCCTTGGGGAGGCTCCACACGTTACCCGGGGTCCAACTTGGTCAGCTTCCTCCTCGCAGCGCGGCCACGTGCGGGGGCAGTGAGGCGCCCTGGCTGTGACCCCCTTGTTTGAAGAGGGTTGCGTTAGGTTTCACGAGGTTGGAGCGTGCGTGCATACGTGGTTCGCTCGACTGTGGCTGGCAGATACAGCGATCCAGGCAATGCGATCCCGGCGATGCGCCCCGCTTGCCGCATCCCGCCGCCCCTCCCCCCTGCCCTAAGGCCAGGCGACCACCTGACTTGCCCAGCTGCCTTCCACCTAAAAGTGGCTCACAGGTCCCTGTCACCCACCGGCGAGTCAGATACGATGCCATGCCCGAGTCCCGGGTCTTACGCGAACCGCAAACAGCAAATTTTTCCCGGGGGCTCAAAGCAAGATTTCGCCGACCCCAAACCCAGATCAGTGTGCATGCACGCGCGAGCCCACCCAGGTGGTGTAGGCATTGATCCCCGCCGGCTCGGAGCCCACCACGCGCTACAGCGACGGGAATGCAGCCGGGCGACTGCCGGGTTTGTGGCCAGACTTGTGTGCCTCCTCAGCGGGCTCAAGCGCTGGAAAAGTAAAGCAGCTGCTCTAGGAGACCCACAGCGAGAGCAGAAGGACCGGAAGGGGGCTGGAAGAGGGCTGGAGAGGGGCTAGAGGAGCAGACTGACCACCCCCGCAGCCGGTGCCCGAGGCGCAGAGAAGCACAGCGGCCGCAGCTGCCCGCGCGGCACGGTGTGTATTTTTGGATTTGGTGCGCATGGGGTTTCTCAGTCTCTGAGACCACCCTAAACCGGCCGTAAATTTCAACTGAAATTCCATTTAGCCCTTCCCCCCCGCACAGTAGGACGCCTGGAACTCTGGGGCCTACAGTGTGGGGGGTCCCTGTGTGCGTCCCATGCCCCCGCGTTCCGTGCCGCGGCAGCTACCGCTTAGAGAGTCTCGGTGGTAGATGCCCGAGACCCTCTTATTCCCCTGTATTTATCATAGTCCCCATAAACGGGGAGGAACCCTGCCTGCGCCACCGCAGGCCACTGCTGAGACCCCAGAGTGTGGTGGGGATGGGGGACATAGAGGTGCTTTATAGGAGCCAGCCTCGGCAACCGGCAAACAAAAACCGCAGAAGCGATGGAAAGTACCCCAACACATTTTAAAAACAAATTGCGTGCTCACACTCGGCACCCCTTGCCCGTCGCCTCCTGCCTGCTCCGCCGGTGGGCTCACGACCACCTGTCGCATCCCCGCGCGCGCCTGCACCCCCTTCCCACCCGCCCAAAGCCTTGCGCTCCAGACCTGGGCAGGATCCGAGGCTGCCCAGGGCTGGGGGCTGGGGCTCAGGGGTTCAGGGGTAATTTGGGGTTATGAAACACTCCTGCAGTCCCCCCTCCCCTCGAGGAGAGTCTGTTGGGTCTGGGAGGGAGGGTTTCAGCTCCTGCGCTCAAGCAGCCCGGGGCCCACGTCTTGCATCACGTGTCCCGCAACGCAGGAGAGCTCTCTCTCTCTGGCCAGGGGAGAAGAGAGGAGAAAGACTCCAAATCAGTCAGGGAGAGGACTGGAAGGAACCAAAACGTCCCTGCGAGGCCTGCGCTCATCAGCCCCCTTACCCAAAGTCCGGGGCTCCCGGCTCCCGGAGCCGGCTCCCGGAGCCACCTCGGCCGGGGCTGGCGTCCCCTGGTGGCAGAGAAAGAGCACTACGAGCGATTTTCGGACCGAATCGGCGCGCTCCTCTGATCCAAGCAGGCGGGGCTGGCCTGGAGCTGAGAGAAAGAGAGAGGAGGGGACGAGGCAGGCCTAAGGTGGGGGGGCCAGGGGCCGCCTGAGGGGATAAAAAGTGTCCAGAAAGGAGCCAAGACTCAACCAGCAACAATAGACTTGCTTCTGCCATGGTCTGGGGTTTGAGGTCCTGAACCCCTAGACCTCACTAGGGTTAGAAAGTGCGGTTGGAGAACTTTCCAGCTGGTACTTTGATTTTTTTTTTTTTTTTTTGAAAATATTTTTTTCACCCTAGTTCGGTCGGGTGCTCCGTCTTACGGGGCCCCAAGTTTATTTTAAGAAGCCGCCACCGTGTTATGGGCGTGCGCAACTGCCTCGACGGCAATAATATGTCAGGACAACGCAATATCCCCCTTGAACTCGGCGAACAGCCCGAGCAACCACCTTTGGAGGCCCCAGGGGCAGCTGCCTCCGGTGCTGGGCCTGGCGCAGCCGAAGAGATGGAGACCCCACCGCCTCACAGCGAGCCCGTCCCCGTCGAGATTGAAGGTGAAGCCTGTGGACCCCCAGAAGTCTCCAGGCCCAAGTTCCAGGGCCTCAGCCAGGCCATCAAGGAAGCCAGAGCCCATGGAGGCTACAGCCCACCTCCTGAAGAAGCCATGCCCTTCGAGGTCGAGCAGTCCAGCTTGGGAGGCTTCTGGCCTACCCTGGAGCACCCTGGAGACACCACTGGGGCCCATGCAGGCCTTGAAGCCTTCAGCCCACCGATCGTGGAGCCCAGAGCCTTCGGTGAGGCCAGGCCAAGCCTGGGAAGCTACAGCCCTCCTCCCGAAGAAGCTATGCCCTTTGAGTTTGAGCAGCCTGCCCAGGGAGGCTGCAGCCAACCTCTCTTGCAGGTCTCAGACATCGCTCCAGGAGGCCCAGGTGCGGGGGTCTTTAGGGCTCCTCCCGAGGAGCCCCGAGCCCTCAGACCTGCAAACGCAGGCTTCAGAGGAGGATGCAGCCCTCCGCCTGAGGAGGATGTGCCATTTGAGTTTGATGGAGCAGCCTTTGGGGACGACAGCCCACCCCCTGGGCTCCCCCGAGCTATCCCACAAATCGACGGCCTTGGCGGCAACCAGATCGCGGCAGTCGCGGCCCCGAGTGCGGTCCTCCTCGCTCCCGCCGCGAACGAGCCCCCCCTCTGGGTCCCAGGCATCATCGGCAGCCCATCTCGAGAGGCTGTCAGACCTCCTCCACACTTCGCAGGCAACAGCCCCCCGATGGAGATCTCCGGACCCCCGCGCGAGATTGGCAGCGCCCCCGTTGGGGTCGACGACGCTCCCGTCAACGTGGACAGCCCCCCAGTCGCGCTTGACGGCCCGCCCATCGAGGTCTCCCGAGCCCCAGTTAAGAGAGAGCAAGCAGAGGGAGAGAGACCCCCAGTTGAGGGAGAAGCAGCCGAGATGGAAGGAGGCTCAGCCGACGCTGCCGCGGAGAGAGGCAAAGTCCCCGATGCCGGAGACGGAGCCCCTGCCGCCGGAGCAGCCCCTGACACGCCAGCCGCCGGGG